CTGTGATGTGGCTTTGAACCCTTTGGCAGAACCACGCTCAAAGGGCAAGAAAATATTTCTGTTCTCATTGCTGATGCCCCATGGAAGTGACACCAGGAGCCTCTCCATCTAACAAACCCCTGACACATTTCTACACTTCGAATGTGAGAACTGTGTGTTCATAATGGATGAGTGGATGGGCTGTCAGTGAGTCTGTCTTTTGTTTTTTAAAATCCAGTCTCTACTACATGTCAGCTTTAGAGGCTGACTTAAATGATGGAGCATTCCGTGGTAGAAAGTACATGGGCTTTGGAACTGGCTAGCCTTGGGATGGAATATTAATTCAGTTATGCATCTCCAACCTTAGGCAACATACCTAACCACCCTGAGCCCCAGTTTTCTCATCTATACATGGAGACATGCCTACCTTATAGCAAAACACTTAGCTCACTTTCTGAAAATCTAATATGTCAAGCACTAAGTCCATCAGATGAGCCTACCACCTGATCCTATCAACATCTTCATTAATGATCATGTTTTCATCCTGGTTAGAACTTCTCCAAGCCGTTGGGTTGTAAAGCTCAGATACTTCTTTCCTAGGAGAAATAATGTGGGGAAAGTTCGGTCAATTTGCAATAAGAGGATCTGTGTTCAAGGCGAAGCTCAAACAGTAGGTGACTGAGACCTTGAACAGCGTGTTTAAAGCCAACTTCCCAGGATTGATGTGAACATTGGTTGAGGGGAAAGCTGTGAAAGTATTATAAACCCATAAAGCTTGATGAAACTCTTAGGCAGAACGGTAAAATGCTATTATGCCATGTCTTTGAAAGAATTCAACTGACATTTCATAGCCCTTGAACTACTACACGAGTAGTCCTTTGCTAAAGTGTTTGTAGGCAGAAAGCCTCCCTCTTTGAGGCTCACTTTGCTTCTTTCTCTGGTCTTCGGCCTCCAAGACCATATGCCCCTCTCTCACTGGCATTAAAGGTGGTCTGATTCTGGCCTGGTTCCTGCACAGGCAGTGGGAGCTTGACCTGTCTGCTGAGCCCCAGAGCCCACAGCTGCCAGGGAGACCCAGCTGGAGCTAATTTGCTGGGCTGAGTCACAGCGTCTGGTTGGGACAAGTTGGGCGTATCCTTGGGACCCCAAAGACACACAAGTGTCTCTCTGGGACCTTCTCAGTGCTCACCACTTTGCTGAGTTCCTCGGTGTGGGTGGTGGTTAAGCACAGTTGCTCCCTTCTTCTGAGGAGCTTCTTTTTCCAGAGGGAATGTTGTCATAATGCACTTTTTTTTTTTTTTTTTTTTTTGTGGTACGCGGGCCTCTCACTGTTGTGGCCTCTCCCATTGCGGGGCACAGGCTCCGGATGCGCAGGCTCAGCGGCCATGGCTCACGGGCCCAGCCGCTCTGCGGCATGTGGGATCTTCCCGGATCGGGGCACGAACCCTGCATCGGCAGGCGGACTCTCAATCACTGCACCACCAGGGAAGCCCCATAATGCACTTTTTAACAACCATGAGTTCTTTAGGACTCCCTGTCATTTAGGCCTAAATTGTTTGGTGACATGATAATCACTACAAAATCCAAAGTAAGGGGAGGTCAGGGATGGTTAGCAGAGTTAGAGAAGGTTTATTATTGGTTATCCGGGGGATGTTCATGAAAACATTCATTAGTGCTGCTCAGGAGAAAGAAAATGGTGTCAGCAGAGCAGCCCAGCATGGCCAACTTCCATGGGAAAGCACCGGCAATCAAAGAGAGCCTTGCCTCAGGATTCCAGAGGCTTAGATGGGCCAGCATAGCTGGCAAGGGCTGACACCGCAGCACAGGGACAGAATTGTGGCTTGGGAATGCAGGGATTGTGAGTTCAAGTCTTGCTTTTGCATTTTACATTGTGTCATTTATTTCTCTTCTTGTTTCCTTAATTTTGGTCTTGAAAAGAATTCCATCAAACGCTTGCAGAATATTCACCCTCAGGTAACCAGTAAATTTGTCTTTGGGGAGCCGCTTAGGGAATCAGACCCTGGCTTCATGTTGTCAGAGAGTCAGGAAACCTGCATCCTGGTCTTAGCCTTGAAGCTGCTCCACTCCTTGCCATGCAAAGTCCGGTCCATGGGCCAGCAGCATTACCTGGGAGCTGATTAGTAATGCAGAATCTCGGGCCCACCTAGATTTGTGAATCAGCATCTATGCCTTAAGATCCCCGGGTGATTCATATGCACATAAAAGTTTGAAAAGCACTGGTCTACATGATCAGCTCAAGGAAGGCAGGGTTTTTTCTGTCTTCTTCTTCATTACTTTATATCCACAGGACCTATCTAAAGTTTAGCACATGATGGCTGCAAAATCCATGAATCTTTCTCTGACCTTGAGCATGTCCAAACTTCTAGGGACTTTGTAAACTTCCAGTGACTTTGTAAACTTCCAGGGACTTAATTGTAAAGTGGTGTAGGGAGAGAGGTGGTGAGTGGAGATGCGGTCAACCTTCAATGGTTGAAAAACTGACGTGAACATTAGAATCACAGGTGGTAGTGGTGGTTTTTATATGGTTGTCTTTGACCTACTAAGTCAAAAGCTCTGAAGATGGGTCATAGGATTGGTATGTTTTAAAATTTCCCTTTATGTTCAATAATGTTTATTACAATAGCATATATTAAAAAAATCTTTTAATGTTCCTCAAGAGGAAATGGATAAGTACAATGTAATACAATTCAGAAATTTAACTGAATGAAATAGAGCTACACATGTAAACATGAATAAGCCTAAAAAGTTTTTTGCAAGAAGAAACTTGCAGAGGAGGTGTGAAGTATGGTGTTGTTTACTTAAAGTTTAAAAAGTCCGTATGTTTGTAATAGAAACATACTTATGTAGTAAAAGTGTAAAGTCCTAGATGGGAAAAATAAACATCAAGTTCAGGGTAGTAGTTAACTCTGAGAGGAAAGAAGGGGATTGGATAGGAGCTTCATGTTTTATTTTTTAAAAAAGAAAGAAAGAGTAAAGGAAAAATGTTGCAGTAACAATGTGGAGAAATAATTTTTTAAAAAGGAATCAATATGTAATTATTTATGGTTCTATTCTCTCTAATTTTTCTGAATGCTTGAAATATTCCATTAACAAAAACTACAACAAAATTCTTCTGGTGATTGTGAAGCAGACAGTTGGCATCTGGGAATTCTTACCTTAGATGCTTCTAAGGACCTTTCAGTTCTAAATATGTTTGTATACAGAGAACCCTCTCCCAACCACCCTGTCTTGTTCTCACAGATGACCCATGCCTATTAGGATGTGCCCAAGGCCTGTGGCTTCTCTGCATTCTGTCCTGATGAGATGCAGCCGTATCTCACGTTTGTGCCGTTGGTGGAACCCAGCAATCTAACTCTGCCTTAAGGACCCAGCCTGCAGGCCTCCTCTCTGTTGTCTGCTTCTCTCCTTTACAAAAGCAGAAGTTCTGCCCTACAACTATCCTAATATTAGAGCTCTAACCTTAGGGTTACCACCTGCCCCCCGCTTCCCCAAGCTGCATTCATTTTCATAACACCTTCACTGACACTTCAGTTCAATGGTCGGACTTAGTTGCTCTGCAAATCCCAAGAGTTTTCATTGTCTACCCCAAGTATCACCATTTGCAATCAGTTCTCTTATTGCTGTACCTGCTTTCCTAACTTCCTTTCTATACCAGAGGTGTCCCTAAAGTTTAATCAATAAGGATGACACCTGTTGGTCTGTGACTCAGGGAACATTAAGAAGGTAGAAGTGGCTCTAACAGCTGGTATCAAGTGAAATTTTAAATTAAATTATATTATAATTATTTTTAATATACTCTACTGCAGTAGTTCTAAACCAAGGGTGATCTTCCCCTTACCCCCACCCCCACCCCCCTGGCCCTGGCCAAGGGACATTTGACAGTGGCTGGAGACATTTTTGGTTTTCACAACTAGGGGAGTGCTACTGGCATGTAGTGAGTAGAGGCCAGGAATGCTGTTAAACATCCTACAATGCACAGGACAACCCTGCCCCCCATAACAAAAAATCACCCATCTAAAATGTCAGTAGTGCTGAGGTTGAGAAACCCAGCTCTACAGACCCTCATATCATGAACATCCCCCTATCAGTGAGGGAGAGTAGATGGGGCTACAGTCCTTTAATGTGGGACCATGGAACGAGGGATATAGGACTCCCTGTGAATATATGTATAGACCATTTCTTTATCATTGTCATGGCATGGCGGTGGGTAGGGAGGTGTTGCTGTTGGAGATGGAAGATGAGAAGAGATCAAGGAGATTAAGGAAAAACTAGAAAGGGACAAAGTCCAGGTACTTGGGAGAATAGAGGGAAGCTGCCTCTGATGGCTTTGAACTTGGCACTTGGCTATAAATAACACTTTCATGCTTCAAAAATACAAGGTAGCTTATTTTAAAATATTCCCAATGCAAAATGTGGTGGATAGTTCCAGTGATGGCCCCGAGTGAGTCATGCCATCCTGTTTACACTTGCCTGTGATGTGATTTTGCAGTTCCTCTGGTCAAGAGGTGGTGTCTGTTTTCCCACCCCATGAGTCTGGGCTGGCGTTGTCACTTGCCTTGACCTGAAGAATGTGGAGGGAGTGATGATGTGTGACCTCTGAGGCCATGCAGCTTTGGTTTTCTCCCTTTGGGAACATCTCTACCATCCTAATCCTATGAGGACTCCCAGCCTGCTAGAGGCTCTTTGAGAAAAAGGCCCAGGCGTCCAGTGTCCCAGCCCAGCCCCCTCCAGCCTTCCAGCTCATTGTGCCTCTGTCAGTGAACCCAGGTGAAATCAGCACATCCACCCAGCCAACCCACAGAGTGGTGAGAGATAATAACTCTTGGCTGTTGTAAGCCACCACTCTTTGGGGTGCTTTGCTACACAGCAACAGATAACTGGACATTGTGTATAAGGGACTTCATCTGAAGCAGTGGATGATATTTTTGCTTTAGAACATGTGTGTAAATGTCAGATCATGGTTAAGAGAAACTGAGTCCTTCCTCCTTTGTTTCTTGTAGCACTTCTCGGAGCTGCTGGATGAGTTTTCCCAGAACGTCTTGGGCCAGCTCCTGAACGACCCTTTCCTCTCAGAGAAGAGTGTGTCGATGGAGGTAGAGCCGTCCCCAACCTCCCCGGCGCCTCTCATTCAGGCTGAGCACAGCTACTCCCTGTGTGAGGAGCCTCGGGCCCAGTCACCGTTCGCCCACGTCACCGCCAGTGACAGCTTCAATGATGGTAAACCCAGAGCAGGGGAAGCAGCTGGGACCTCGGCACCTTTGGCTCTGACCTCCTTGAGGGTGTGGAGTGTGTGTTATCATTAGCGCCCCCTTCAGCCACATACCTGCTGTGTGTGGCCTTGTGCTTGGGCCATGGGGAAATGCAGAGAGGCACAGAATACCTCTCTCTACCTGAGACTGTGTGCTCTGGGAATTTGCTAGAGCGGAATGGTACTAATTGCTTTCTCTGACCCTGTGGACTGGGCAGCAAAGCATCCTTTTGCAAATCAAGTTGGCCTATCTGGTTGATAATTCCAGTACATCCATTGTTTCAGAGGTCATGCCATTTTTTTTTCTGAGAAATCATTTTTATGACCATTCTTTCCGTAAACACTTCTTGGGCATCCTCTTAACCTATTTTCAGCATGTTTCATTGACCCCATGTATAGGAGATCTTGGCTAGCATCCCTACGACTTTTTTCATTGGTTACCCTTTCATGTCCATTATCAATGCCATTAGTATGGTATGTGTTAAAGGTTTAGTTTTCCTGACCTTAGAGATGTTCAGATGTTTTGACTATTAATCCATAGGCCTTTAATTGGTATACGCTGTATGTATACTTTTAAACTTTAATTTTCTATGTTTGTTTTCCTAGAAGTATAATCAGCTATTTTAGTATCTTGAGTTAAGTTTTGAAAATTATATTCTCTAATACTAGTTTGACATATGCTCTCTTCTCCCAGGAGGATGAAAAGCGTGGGAGATGGTCACTAACTTGATATCCTCTGGCTTGACCTGGATGTCCCCCTCCCTTCCTATACCACTGTACACATGGCAACATCTTGTGAAGTGGCTACCTACAGAACAACCTCCCTCCTGCTTCTTTGGGTCAAAGGCAAATGCTTCCTATCAACTTCACAAATAGGCCATTAGCTTTGTGGAGGAATCCCTCCTCCAGTTAGGGTTCTTAGGTCTACTACTGGCCTCTAAAAGAACCAACTCTGGGATCAGTAAAGCATCATATCTTGGGACAGAGAATGCTCTAGGTTTTTTCTTTCCCATCTCAGATCTACTCTTCCTTTGATTAGAGGTTTGCTGACCAGCTGCCCAGGAAATCTGGCCTTATATCCTCAGTGAAAGGAAGGCCTCGAATCTGTGGGTGGATTCTTTCTTGATTGGACCCTCTGGAGCCTTAACTGTATTCTCAGATTTTTCCTGACAAGAGGTCAGATGCATGATGATTTAATCCTTCCTCTCTGTGTTTTGTCCACTTTCTCTACCTCAGATCTGGAGAACAGGGTGAGGGGAAGACTCCTGGGAAGGAAGGGAAGAAGTAGAGCTAAAATAATTTGAGGATGTGGAGCTGTTGTGAGGGTAAAATGAGATGATGTGTTTAAAGAACTTAGGACAGCGCCCACCACACAGCATTTCAATAAATCAGTGTTTCCTCTTTCATCTTCTGTTGTTGTAGAGTTGTTATTGTTCTTCTTCCTGATCCCCTTCTTTTCCTCCTTCTCCTGCTTCTGTTTCTTCTGCTTCTCCTCCTTTTTGTCTTTCTTTTCCCCTCCTCTGTACTCCATCTTCCTTCCCCCTCAATTTCTTATTAAATCACTTCCAGGAATGACCTCAGTTCAAATGCAGGAATATGGTCTCTGTTATGACTAAATACTCCTCATTTTATCATTACACAGAGGGCCACTGTAAGGACTCAGCCTTCTTCTGGGTTTTAGCTTAGATAAATTCATGCAGTCCCTGTCTTAGTTGTTTTATTTTTAAAGTAGACTCTAGCGCTACATGAAAGGTTGGACTAAATTGACCTTTAAGATTTGTTTCCAATCCTGAGGTTCTGTGTGGGTATGGTTTCTGTTTAATATTTGTATCTGCCTTTGCTCATGGTTTTCCCTGTATTCTCTTTACTGCTTTGCCTCTGTTATTTCTACAATTCCTTTGATGTCTCTATTTCAAGCCCTACTTCCTTTGTGGAAGTCATTTCTGATACCTCTTGTATTAGTTATCTACTGCTGTGTAACAGATCTCCCCAAATTCGTGGCTTAAAGCAGTAGTAATCATTCATTACCTCTCATGATTTCTGTGGATCAGGAATTCAGGACTGGCTCACTTAGGTGGTTCTGTTTGTTGACTGAAAAATAAATGCACAACCTAAAAGTTGAGAATTATGTTTTTTTATTTGGCGGAATTTCTGAGGACTTAAGCCTGGGAAGCAGCTTCTCAGATAGCTCTGAGGGACTGCTCGGAAGAGGTGAGGGAGGAGCCAGTATATATAGGAGTTCTTGCAACAAAAACCAGGTAGTCAGAACATCAAAAGATCACTGTTAATTTAAAAAAAAACAGACATCTCGAGTTAGTGAATTTACCATTTTCCTCTGTATAGGAAGATGCAAGTGTCTGGGCTCATTGAAATCATTCCTCTGATGTGCACCTTAACTATCTAAGGCCAGTATCTTGTTCTTTCCCGTCCTGGATCCCCTCAGGGTGCACAGCTGGGGACAGATGCAGTGGCTGAGGGCTTGATGGCTACAACGTCCTTTGTTTGCTGATATGGCAGGTGGCATTCTTTGTCCACATGGTTCAGGATCTCTCATGAGGTTGAAATCGGATGTTGGCTGAGGCTGCAGTTATCTGAAGACTTTTCCAGGATTAGAAGATCTACTTCTAAGGCGGTTCTGTTACATAGCTGGCAAGTTGATGCTGGTGAATCAGTTCCTCTCCATGGCACTGCTTGAGTATCACCACAGCATGGGAGCTGGCTTCCCAAGGAGTGAGGGATACGTTGGTGGTGTAGTGGTGAGCATAGGCGCCTTCCAAAGAGCGAGAGAGCCAAGACACCAAGGCAGGAGCTAAAATACTTTTTCTGACCCAGCTGTGGAAGTTATTCTGTCAGTCACACAGGGGAGTCCTGATTCCTTGTGGCTGGGGACCATACAAGGATGGGAATGCCAGAAAAACAGGATCACTGGGGGGATGTCTTAGAAGCTGACCACAAGACTTCTTCTCATAGTGATGTCTATAAACTGGCTTCTTCCATGTCTGAACTCCTTTATCACATGTTATCAGTGCCTTACAGTGTAGCCATTCATTCTCCTAGTGGCTCTTGAGTTGTTAAGGGAGAAGGTATAGGAGACTGAATGAAGCATGTTCCCAGCCTTTAGTGATACATCAGGGGAGACACCTGCTCTGCGTGCCCCATCACTGTGCAGACACACTGGGCTGCAGGTATTTGATCAGGTTACAGTTTCCTGGCTTCTAGAAGTTGTCCTGTGCAGGACCAAACACAGTGCCAAGTAGAGGTAAGTATTGTACAGGTGCTTTGTGATTCATTTTAAAAATTTATTCCTTAGCTATTCACTGAGCACCTACTTTGTGCTTAATCTGCCACCGACTATCCTAAGCACTGGGGGATAAAGACTGAACACAGTTTATACAGATCTCTGCTTCATGGAGTTTGTATTCTAGGATGTGAGGGGGGAATAGGAAATAAGAAAAAGTAAAGAAGTAAACTATATATATGTATTTGATGGTGATCAGTGATATACAGAAAAATAAATCAGAAAAAAAATAGGGAGATGTGGGAGGAGGGGGGAGTTTCTTAATCCATTCAAGTTGCCATAACAAAATACCACAGACTGAGTGGCTTATAAACAACAGAAATATATTTCTCACAGTTCTGGAGGCCGGAAGTCTGAGACCAGGGTGTCAGCATGGTTGGGGGAGAACCTTCTCTGGTTGCAGACTTCTCATTGTGTGCTCACATGGTGGAAGGGGCTGGGGAGGTCTGTGGGGTCTCTTTTATAAGGGCACTAATTTCATTACAGAGGGCTTCACCCTCATGACCTAATCACCTCCCCAAGGCCCCACCTCCTACTACCATCACTTTGGGCATTAGGTTTTCAGCATATGAATTTGGGAGGACACAAACATTCAAACCATAGCAGTGGGGGAGTTGAGATTTTAAATAGGATAGACAGGGAAGGCCTTTCTTTGAAGGTAGTATTTGAGCAAAGATCAGCAGATGAGGGAAGGAACTAGGTGTATGTCTAAGAGGCTTCTAGGCAGAGGAAACGGCAAGTGCAGAGACCCTGTGTCAGGAGTGTGATAACAATATAGCAATACCTATATTGTATTTAGTTATCATCTGTGGAGCTAGTCAGCCGTTCAGCAGCCTTGTTTCTAGACTCTGCAGAGTAGAGCTGGCCTAAACAATCTGGGCAACTTTCCCCTTCACTTCTGTGTTTGTTGAACACTTACTGTGTGTCAAGCACCGTCGTAGATACTTGTGAGACAACGATGGTAAAACTTACACCCAGACTCTAGGGAACATGCCTTGTACCCCAATACTTGATCAGACCGAATATGAGCAGTGTCCCAAGAGGAAAAGAAACTAGAAGTTCAGAAGACAGAGCGTACGCCCAGTGAAGATCACAGGAAGAATTGCATGAACAAGGCAGAATTTCGTTTGGGCCCTAAAGCGTTGAGTAGAGTTGAAACAGTGGTGATGGTTGGAGGGAAGCACATAGTGGGCCGAGGGCTAGGACATTGATTCTTCTAAACCAAGACCCCGACTAAAATGATTGCAAATAAGCAGGTTTCCAAAAGTTGAGGGTCCGTTTCTCTTCCCGATAACACTATATCTTTGCTTTTTAATGCTAATCATATAAAGGCAGCATAAAGGAACTCATAGATGCCACCTATACTGATAGCTTAGTGTGGGGAGAAATGATCAGTCAGTATTTTCCAGGAAGCTTTCTTATCATTAGGCCAAAGCACACACCATTCAGTTCCCCCCATCTGGCCCCTCCTTCTGTTTAGAGGTGCTATACTGCTGTGCACAAAGAATGTGTCACTTGCTGTATCGTATCAATAAACAAAAGATGTTGTGGCCATCAAGCTGTCAGGCAGACTGTGCACCCCGAGGGGATTCAGTATGGAAAAAAGCAGGATCTTGGCCCTAGATAGTTCTGGTGCACATCAAAGGAATGATTTCAATGAGCCCAGACTCT